TAAATGGTATGCGTTAAGAACTCACCTCTTTCAAACCTGCTTTTTGCTGCTTACTTCTGCTTGCATCATAACACCTTTCTCCTAATTGGTTCTAGATAAACAGAATCCTCAGTACAGTAAACTAATATTATTAACCTTTTTTTTTGTGCTGCTAATTTTATGAAACGTTCCTTGTACTGCAGCATGTTTTTATAAGCACCTATTAATCTACTGAGTTTCCTAACAAGGACATTTGCAGCTCCCATTAGTGATAATGGCACATTATTCTGTATTACTGTATCATGAATCAATGAAAAAATACTGATAAGATTTCTGTAAACTTTAAGATCTGTAAACTGTAATCTGTGTGTATGGGGCACTTTAGCTCCTTTTATCTATTGCAGTTCCAGTAAGATTATGTTTTTACAGTACTGATCACACTGTGGGGTTTTTTAAATATTTCTTTGGGGAAATGCTCTAATGCACATATGCTTTCCACAGGTTTGCAGTAATAGACATTGTAACTACAACTACAACAAATCTATAGAGAGTCATTCCATCTCAGCTGTACAAATTACATTTTCAGAAACATCTTTCTTAATGCAACAGCAACTGAGGAAAAAAAAAACAAACAAAACAAACCTTCTGTTCAGGCGCTGGTTTTGTAACGAAGAAAGAAGAGAGATTTTTTAAAAAGACTATTATGTGGAATGTATGAATATATGCAAATGTGTTTGGTGTGTGATAAAATCAGCCACTGACCTGGTAACACTGTATCTAGCAAATAACCTAATTGCAGACAACTGTTCTTTTACAAAAAAATGTATGAAGAGACACTGTAGGAATGACTATAATCCAAGCTACTTTCCTCACAGGCCTGTGACCAAATAGCAATACTCTGGAATCATGTTTGATTTCTTGCTTATTTTCCCAGCAATTGCTAAAAAAAGCTGAGAAAATTTTCTTAAGGCACCAAACAAAAAACCAAAACAACCCACCAACCGTGCAATACAACTATTATCTTTTTGTCTGATGTTTGTAGTGTCATAGTATTTTGTCATTAAAGACATAATAATGACTATTAAGTAGAAACATCTACATTACATTAAAGACATAATACCATTTAACAAACTGGAAAAGAATCCTGTTCATAACAGAATCCTTTTTAACCTTGAGGTAATAACATTACTTTGAGCATCCATGTAATTTTTGATATCTACTAGTTGCCAAAAAAGGGTAATCTAACAACCTTTATAAAATATGAACATTTTAAATATTCAGGCAATCAATCTGATATTTTGTTCAACTCTATTTTTTTCTTATTTGTGTACAAAAGCTGAGAGCAAATTTTTTTTCTACAGCAGTTTCCTAGCCATTGTTATTTGTAACATACAGTTAAACTGCTTGAAGGATTCTAATGAGGAGGTTTTAAAAAGTATTTCAAATCCTTATGAAAAAGAATTGCAAGAAGGAGTTTTGTCTGTAAAAATGAACCAATTGACTAGATATACATAAACATATACCAATGTCTAACAAAGTTTGTAACTGATTTAGAAAGAAACATTACATTCTACTAGACATCTCGCCCCAGGGTTCTTGTACTTTGTTAAAGGCAATGGAAGCAACTGGTTATTAACTGAAATACAGAGCAGGACACAACTAATTTATAATTATGTATAATTTACATGGATTCTGGTAACGTGAAATACTACTGGTCTTTCTGAAAGGGCTCATTCTGTAAAGATAAATAGAATAAACTGAAAAACTGCCATTACATCCTTTATTTGGATTGCACTTAACTGATTTACAAATAAAAACCTCTCTAAATTTCCTTTTAAAAATAAATTGTGTCTTTCATAAGAGACTTCTACATTTTCAATCTTTTGTTTGCCTTTGCTTGGAAATTTTTGAACAATTCACAAACATAATGGATTACACCTTGAACATCTCTATGAGGTGATTAAGCTGTGGTATTCACATTTTACAAATGGGAAACAGAGGTATAGTGAGATCAAGTGAATTTACTAAGGGAACATACATGAATTATGAAAGGCAGTGTAGATCTTGTTCACAGATTTCTTAACCGGGGAGTCGTATTTCCTCACTGAACAGAGACCAGAGAAGGAAGGCAGACTGTCTCATTCTGAATTGTGAGAAAAAAAATGGATTTACTGTTCTTTCTTGCCTTTTTGCCTGTAGTGAAATTGGGCTAATCAATCCTTGAGTTAATGCAGTGCACTTGAAAAGCTGATATGACATTGCCCTTTATATTCAAGGAGGAACTATCAAAACAAGAGACCATTTGTTCAGAGTGCTCTGCTTTGCTTCACATCTTGCAGCAGGTACAAGTGAGTTCAAGGCCACTTGCTTAGCATCTGAAAAGGCAGAGCTGTACATTGTTTTCTGGGAGAGGTAAACTGCTTATGGGAGAGGTAAACTTGCCTAAACACTTAAGATTACTTTAGGCAAATTATCTTTGATATCTTCTTAACATTACTGAGTTGCTTTTTTTACCTTTATTCTCCTTTTCCTCCCAGATTCAAGCATTACTATATAGGATTTAATTATGTGATAACATTTCCTGAGAAACAGTGGTTTCCAAGACGCATGTACATTCTTTCTTTATTTTGCAATTTCTGTACATATTAGAGATTTCTGAAAGCCAAAATCAATGTAAACTGGATTCAGTGTTATTTTTATGACAGGTTATTTTCATTTGCTTAATGTTTCATTTTTAAAAATTATTTTTAAAATTGTTTCCATGAAGGAAACATTTAGACTTGATTCTCTGCTCTTTGTCTTGTCACAAGAGTGAAAATTGAGCATAAAACATTACCAAATAGGCATGATTAGCACAAAACTGGAAGAATCAGGTACCAAGATAAACGTGAGGCTGCATTTCAATAATTACCTCTGTTGTATCTGGATCTGCCTGTAAAGCAGAAGTAAAGACAAAAACACAGAGGTGTTCTCTAATTGTTACTCAGCAAATTGCGCTTAAGGCTTATTAAAAGATAGTGTGTTAACAAGCAGTTTTAATGGATTTATCCTCTTCTTCTGGGAGTGTTGGGACCAGTATCAAATGTTTAGTTTAGAACTAATGGCACTTGCCCATAAAGGGAAATCTACCTGTGTATCTATCAGAGAAAAAAGACCAATGCATCTCTGTATGTGGAAAAGTCCTGCTAGTAGAAGACTGAGTCTTCACCTTAATAAAACAGGATGGGAGAAGAAGTTTGCTGTATGAGGTAAGCTTTTACAGAGTATCTTAGTATGCAGTTTACAAATAGGAAGGATTAAAAATAGCATGTAGATTGCTTGATATTTTAAATTTTCTTTTACTCAAATGTTTTATTTTAGTTGACAAAGAAAAATATTTTAAGAAAGTTGCCATTGGTTACTGCTTCTAAAAGGAAAGAAATAAAAAATATAAGTGGATTCACAGGGTGATTAGCTCACAGAATTAATGAAGAAATGCAGGAGCTACGTTCCACTCCTACTGTGTGTGAGCATTATGCAGCTCCACTCTGATAGAGAGAAGGGGAATAAACCAAGAAATAGGACAGGGAAATTCAAGCTCTAGCTGCTGGACTATATAAATGTGTTAGGGGAATCTCCTGAAGGAGGAAAAGGATGAACCTTTTCTTCAACCACTGGATGCAGAAGTGCACTAAACAATGCATGTCCTCTAAGTGACTTTCTGGGGGGACAAAGTCACAGATTTGCGTGATTCCTTTTTTTTTAAAAATTTTTTCCCAGGCATAAAATTATTTTGGATAAGAGATATAATTCTAGTTTTTGTAAAAATGTGAGTTACAATTAAGTTGTATCATCTAACTGGTGAAGGACAGTAATCAAGAACAAGAAGAAAGAAGAGGCAAATTACTCTTCTGGGCTGAGACACCTAATAAGCACAGAGGAAGTCTTGACTGCCCCTTCATATAAGACAGAGCTCTCTTCCTGCCCTTGTAGGCAATATACAGCCCTTTCAGCTGAAAAGAACACTTCTCCCTTACTTGCACACTCAAGTCATTGGTTTGTGGAAAGGACAGGGCCATGTGAACTATAAATAACCCCACATTATTAATCAATGGAGGGTTCATTTAAAGCATCATTTACAGTCTAATAACCTATCTAGCATGCTAGTACTAGATATGCTGACTAGCAAAATTTTCTTGCTCACAATTAGGCAACACTGAGGAAGTTTACATACAAATGTTTTATAATCAGTGACTACCTGGGTACGAGCTAATAATGTTTCAGAACAAGATTAATATTTAGTAATTAAAAGAAGATTAAATAAGGCCAGAGCTTTCATTAATATGTGGGGCAATAGACACTGCTATTATTGAGTGACAACTTTAAGACTAAATAATGTAGTCAGGCATTCACTAATGCACTACATTTTTTCTAGTAACATCTGGTGCTGTGAATACACCTACAATCAGACATAAAGAACCTTTAACTTATTAAGATTACTGTAGACTTGTACTGTAAACACTCAGTAGTACTTATTTTTCTGGTTATGGTTCAGTACGTAAAATCAAAGAAAATGGGTTAGGGAATGACTAAATGATATAGTGCAAAATATAGAGATCTTGGAGGTAGTTCCAAGTAAGATGACACACTGATACAGCACAATATGATGTCATGAAGAAATATTAACTTAGCTCCTGGGAACAGTTCTGTCCACTTTACCTGTCTTAATTAGTGGGTCTAATTAACTTCAACAAAATAGAGGCATTTGATATGGCTACACTGCTTTTTAGGGAAGCCTGGGGATCTCTGTGTTGCATGTGATTCTCACATGTAAAAAGCTCAGTCCTCCAGTACATACAGTAATTAGCTGCTATTATTACCATGGTCTGTTATGATGACCAAAGAACATTTCTAACTCCCCTCTTCCTCCAATCATGTCACATTCAATCTTATTGATTATCTGCCAAAGGAAAGTTTATTATTAACCCCAACTGTAATCTCCTTGTCTTTGCCTTTATAGTCTCTCTCTAGACTCTTTATTCCTCAGGTCTCTGTAAAAACAAGGATGAAATACATTTGTTTAAATATGTGAATGCAGAATGAGATTCACTAAAATAAAGTTGAATGTTTTGATACCCTGATGAAACCCTGCATTGCAGTGGATGCTGCCTTGTTCTCCTGTTCATAACTCAGCCTCACCTCCCCATCTCTGCTCTGTAGACTCCCTCTAAGCCAAGGATATATTCTGTCTTAAGGGGAACTTTGTAAATTGTAAAGTTGGAGTGAAAATAGACTTGAAATCTGCCACCAAATGGCATGACCTTTCTCTGGGCAGCATTAGCATTTTTGTTTTTTTCCTATGCTGTCTCTGTGCTCAGCATCAACTCACAGACCTGCCTCTTCTCTTTCAAATCACTTTATCAGTTTCTGTCACGAAAGAGGAATCTTTCAGAGAAACAGGAAGATGATATGTGCTTATGCATTGAGGACAACAGCAAACTTAAAAAGAAAACCTACATTGAATGCATAAAATGGTGTAAAGACTTTCTTGTTCTTTTCCTATTATTATAAGGCCTGGCACTTCAGAATCTTTCCTCTGCAGGATTGAGACTAGCTATTGCTGTATTTACACAGCAGCTAATTTATTTCTAGCCTGATCCTGGTCTTGACTTCTGTCCACTAACAGAATTAGATTATCATAATAACAGCAATTAGAATGTTCTCTTTCTAACAAACTGTATAGCTTTGGACGTTTGATCTGACCTATTCAAAGTTAGAGATACGAAAGATCTGAAAAAGACATTTCTGAAGACATAGAATAAAAAAGATACTTTTGTAATTGCATGTCTAATTTCAGCTCATTACTCTCTCATCATCTTTTAACCTTTGCATTTTCATACTTGGAAAGGAAAAGATTTCTTGCCATATGAAGTCAGTAAAAAATCACTTGCATTGCTGGTGAAATTATCTCTCTGTTTTCATTTGTTTGTACCATAAATACAGAATAATTTGAGGGCCAGACAGTACAAAAATATTAATATCCTATAAACTCAGATATGCTTGTGTAAACTAAATGCCAGACAACAACATATAATCTATCACATAAATCACTGTTACTTCATGACTAACTTGCAAAGAAGAAAAAAAAAAAAAAGGTCAAATCTAATGAAGTCAGTTCTCAAAGGTGGTACCTTCTCCAAGCAAAATCTATAGATGAAAATAATCCCAAGCTCCTTAGATCAGAAAAAAATTGGAACTGGTGTAAAGCTAATTTGTTAAGGTTTGCATAAAACTTATAATACTATGCAAAGGCTAAACATTGTTATTAATTTTAAAGGGAAGAAAATCTAGAATGAAAGGATTGACTCAATACCAGATTTTAGTACAGTCTTGTTTGCAAGGCATGCCAGCTGGGCACAGTATAGCCCTGATCTTGGCAGCTGTGGATACTTGAACTGTTCTTTGGGATGTCCTTTCCTCTCTCATCCATAAAGTGAGCTGTTTCCCCCGACAGCAGCCACCTACCCTGTCACATGCAAATACACTGCCTTGGTATTCACAGAGATGCAGCCACTATACTCTTCTCTAGCAAAAAGCCACTGCTATGGAAGCTGCTGTTCCCTCTATCTTCTCCATGTCACAACAGCAGCCTCCTAGCTAGACTGGCCTGGGCAAGGATTGAGGGAGAAGAAAAGGCAGAGGGGTGTAATGACTGCCTGGCTCACAGGGCCTATTGGCTCCTATTGCAAAGGAGGTAGGCAGCAATCCTTCAGCAAATGATGTTGAACTATTTCATTGCTTCTTGATTGGATGCAGAAAGAAATCAACTTTATAACACAAAAGATGCTGCTTCAGGAGATTAATACTAAATTGAATCAGGCAAAGATTGCAATCACAGCCCTGGACACTACATATGAACAGATGGTAGCCTATGTTAATAACTTGGAAGGCAAGACTGGCACAGCAGAATGCAATGCATTTTAATGAACTCCATTAAACCCATGAGGATCGAGTGTGACCATTTTTACAGGCTTGCTCCTAATCTTGTAGAATTCAAAGCAAAAAAAAAATTATTGCCATTAACAACTGGAGAATTAAACTCAGTTTGTAGAATACCCATGGAAATTAATGATTTTAAAAACAGCAAAGCTGGAGAGAGAAACAGCATGCTGATCTATATTTTGTGACTAGATTTATTGAGGTTCCTCTTTAGGAGTGAAACCATAGAAAGTGAAATTATGTATATTTATAATAATTTATAGTTAATTTCAATTTCATTAATTATTATTTATACACAGGAACAATTTCACTACTGATTCTGGGAGTGACAGAAGTGACATTTACTCTCCTCAGAAAGACAGTATCCACAGCAACACAGAGATGAGACTATACATGGGGACAGGTTTGGAATAGACACAGAAAGTCAAGTGCCTCCTAATGAGTCCTCTATCTCTCTCTCTCTGCACAATTAGGATATTAACATTAATATTTGTTTTAAAGTCCTGATCCAGTCCAACCACCCATACTTCATATACTGTATAATTAACTCTTCCTCCAGAGCTTCCTGTTCTGTTCTTTACAACCCAGAAACAAATCACGGCTTGATCTGAAGTTGCCTTTTGAGTGATCAGTTTGCTTTAATTAGAAATACTTATTGATTTGTGCTAGCTATCTGTAAATGCAATCACAACATTGAATCACAGAATTGCCTGGGTTGGAAAAGACCTTTAAGATCATCAAGCCCAATCATTAACCTCACACTGACAAGTCCCTGACTAAACCATGTCCCTAAGGACTATGACTACGAGTTGAGCAGCTTGAGTAGCAGTTGAATTGCTGAACAGCCATCTTCTAATACCTGTTTCTGATTTACAAAGGTAGATATGATTTTGTCAGGTTTAGTTAATAAGTAGTAGCATTTCAAGTTACAGTTCCTTTGTCTCCTACAGATAACTTCATGCAGTTGCAGTGCAACAAATTTCTTCCTTTACAATACTTCTTTTAACACTAACTATGAAACATCTTAAACAAGTATGTCAGAAAACTCTTACCACCCACAGAAATTTGATGCCAGGTCTGATTTGCACTGGCAATCAGTCTTGGTGAATTCTCTAGTGTAATTAATAGTTCTAATTACCTTCCAGAGCATATTTCATGTCCTGGGCAAACAGAGTCCACATGATTTCAGCACTGATTTTTCCCATGTTCAGCTCTTGAGGGAACCTGCAATCAATCACATTACATCAGTTCACTTGCTGCTAGAAATTATGCTTACAGCTGCACAGCAGAAATGCAAATATTTCCACAAAATAATTCCCTTAGTAGGCACTTAGTGTATTTTGTGTTTTGTATAATTATATGAACCATCCAATCTTCAAATAAAAACTTCCCTCAGTCTAATGTCAGTGGCCTAAGTAATTACTTGAATGTTGCACCAATTCCCTCGCACGACACTTTAAATCAAGAAACATCCATCTATCTTGCAGATAACTCACCAGCTTTAGATAAATCAGATGGCTTATGATAAACCTGAAACAGTTGGTTCAAACGTTTAGCAGCTACAGGTTTTCATTAATTCTTTTGCTACACTGGAAAACAGTGAAGTTGTCTGTGAAGCTATATTGGTTTATACTAGTTGAATCCAATTCACTGTTTGAAGACTTTCACCTTGAAGTATGGATAAAACAGTAAAGAATATGGAAGGTAGAAAAATGCATATTTTTGATTAAAACTTTTAGTTTTGGTCTTTTGCTTCATGTCACTTTTGAAAAACAGAGATTTAGAGATTTTCCACTGTTATCAAATAAGTATTTTTCCACAATTTTGTCATAGATCCCAGCTGCTTTAAAATATAATAAAAGAAAATCACTGACCTTCAAAACTCACCATTTAAAAAGATAAGACAGAGAATGGGGAAGAAGACAAAATAGAAATGACTTGCTCAAGATCCTATGAATGTCAGTCAGCAAGACAACTTAAGATTTTGAATCATCTTTCTGAGCTCTCTTCTCAATTAGGACAGAGTTTTAGTTTACTTTAGTATACATACATACATACAAATATATATACACATACTATTGCATTAATATTCAGACAAAATGTGAAATAAATAAGAATAGAAAATTCCAGGTGATCAATGAGCATTTGATATTTATCTCCAAGTACATGGCTCCCAAAAAGCTTACTCTTCCCTTGTTCCCAGCTTGCACTTTGTCAGAGAGATGCACTTAGTATTGTCAGCTTTATTTCACTATCTGACTAAACTGACAGGCTAAATAATCAGCATTACAAAAAATGCTCATGTTAGGAACACAGTATAAAGCATACAATAACTAGTAATGTAAACTGCAGAGCAGAACATGACTGAGATATTATGCCTGTTATTCCTCAGTATTAATCTGTTTAGATGGTTTTGCTTCCAGGTATATTATGCACATTTAATAATTTAATATTTTCAACACCCTCTTAATTTTCTAATTCTAACATCTATATTTCTATAGGTAAAGAAGAAGAAGAGTCTAGACTTCACATTTGTAGACACTGTTAAAACTGCTTGGAGGACCCTAAAAATAGTGTCATGAAAAGGAAGACAGCTTCTTATATATTCCATGTTATATTACATTCCTTCCTAACATCATGTTATAATGCTAACATCGTGTAAGTGCAACTTTTAATTTGTGCTATAAATAGTTCTGGCACATCTTGAGTTTGGTTCCAAATGTCAGAAGCAGCAGTAATGTTTTTCCAACTGTAATATATCTTTTTGACTAAGATTAATGACAGAAGAAGCTATATAATTCTATTTGTTTTCCCTAAAAGACCTTCACATAGAATACTCAGACACTGCTCAAGGGAGTCATATGTCACAGTTCACAGCAGTCACCACTGACTTAACTGCATTTGGGGCCACAACTGTAGGCAAATTCTGACATATATAAAAATACATACACAACTGAAAGTAAAAATTAACCAAAGCATTAAAGTATAAAGAAGAAATGAGTCCCCAAGAAGAATTTTTTAAATTCATCATATTTAAAACGTTCATAGTCAAATTCTTCATAGAACTAGGTAGTCAGATTAGCATAGAAGTTCTCTGACAGAATACACAACAATTAAAGTTACACACAGGGCTGATTCTCCTTTTCTTAATAAGGTTTGATGTAAGAGAAACTTCATCTACAGATGAATGAGCTCAGTGAGAAACCATCCGTCACTAAAGGACTGAAATTATTATTCAATTCCAAACAAGTTACAGACAACTCAAGGATTTCTTAGCATGATTTATTGCTGTGCACAAGATGTTAATGGATGCTGAAGCTGAGGTTTGGATTCAAATGCTAATCCAAATAAAGCCAAAGGGTATTCCAAGTACTCCAAGAACCTCAGGAGAATGAGATCAAATTCCTCACACTGTAAAAGGAGCTGGACTGCATAAGAAACTAGTCAAATGGTTAGTCAAAACAAAGTTGGATAATCTATGTTTTATTTTTGTAAATCAAAGACTGAGATACCATCTCTACTTTGTGTGAGATGCGGGCAGAAAAAACGCCTAAAGAATTTTTAAAGTGGACAGTGACAGAAATGGAAGACAAGGAATTCACTGAGTGCCATACTTCAGCACAATGGCTCACCTGGTCATTCTGAGAAAGGAGATGGAACCAGGAATGTATGTACATCTTTATGTAAATAAGCACCAACTGCTATGATATATTTCTTACTTCAATGAAAACAGCATGTCATGTTCCCGGATTTGAGATAAAGGTCTGGGCAAAAAAGCACAAGTTTATTTCTCTATTTCCTAAGCTCTATCGTAACTGCACTCCAGAAATTATTGTAGTAAATTTCAACTCCTCTCTCAGATCAAACTATTTGAAAGAAACCCAAGAAAGGAATTAGGGACTTCATTGTATTTTGCAAAAACTTTCACCCTACTCAGAGGAAGGAGATATATTTGGAGGAATGAGATATACATTTGTCAGCCAAGAAGTATGCATCCTAGAATTTCTTTACCAAGTTGGAGGATAGGACAGTTAACATCATTCATATAAAGATTAGTTTATACAAAATTATACAATTTTTGAGATTATATGTTCTAAAAGGATGATAGTAGCAATGATCTGCTCTCGAAAGTAGAGGTGCTGTAACTCTGAAATCGGTCTACACGTGCTGTCCTTTTGTGCATTGCTAAGCCTGTGATCTAAAATTTTCACATTTCTCAGTGAAGCAAGAGGACAACTAGGAGAGTGCTCTATCAGTCATTTTGTTTCCTCTTGCTACAATAATTTCTGTCTCATAGGCCATAATTTTCCCAATTTCTCTGTCATTCTTAGAGCAATAATATAAAATCTCAGTTTATCCAAAACATTGCTATTAAAATCACCTTCCTCACATGCATGACAGTCTCTAATCTTCAACTCCTATGTCAACCATACAATACTACTTGGTGGAACTTCTTAATAAACAGAATATGCTAGATTTTCATGTGAAATAAATTAACCTTAGGTTACCTGTTCATGATAATTTTCATGTATTTCCAAAAATACTAAACTGCATATAAAAGGTAGCCACTTATGAATGTCTCATCTTCATTGATTTTAATTAAGCAAAAATTTAATGCAAACTGTTTACACTGGCTATTTCTAACAATGTGCTGTATAAAAAATGACAAATCAATGGAATTAAATTGAACTCAGCTTGAAAGAAAACAAGAAGAATCAATGTATGAAGCAAAACAAATGAATCCCCAAAGCATTTGTCCTAGATAGTACTGCATGTCTCTAGTTCAATCCTAAACTAAGAAATTCCTATTACAACAATTCAAAATGCTTTTTCCTAATTTGTACTGTCAAATCTGCAGTCTGCTACATTTTAAGAATATCAAAGTCCCTGAACCTCAGATGCACATGCTCAGAATAGCTCAAATTCCATACTTGATGGGTTCAGTCTCATTCAGGTGCTAAAGAGAGTCTGGTCCTGGTGTGCATGCAACAGGTTAGATTGAACTATCTGTGGAATGCTGGTCTTGGTCACTACTTCACTAGGACTTAAGACAAAAGTTCTATCTGATTTCCGAAAATACGTATTCTATTTAAACCACGAGCAATTTATTCAAACCATGAGTTCATTTAATCTCACTTTTTGTGCTCTATCCTCCATCTATCCAAAGTTTTTGTTTTTAACCAATGTTCCCTTTCCTGAACAAAATATAATAAACGAGAGATAACTGTTATGGTCCATAAAACTAATCTGGTCTTAAAGTGTATGATACATTGCTACACGAGAAAATGACAACGGGTCTTGTGAAAGACCAGAACATCACTTCGTTAAACAGAATAAAGGTCAGAAGTTTAATGAAATAAATGATATTTGTATGCTTCCACAGAATGAAGTGTAATTGATAATAGGGACTATCACTAAACCAAGACACAAAACACATCAGATACACTTTCCATTACCAAACATTCTAGAGTTAGCCTGACATAGTCTGATTCATGATACAGTTTATCTGTAAACTATAGATCTACAGTTTTCCATGCCTTTTTTTCTTCCCTCCACTGATGTATATTTTGTAACTGAATTTTTATGAGGAAAGTGACTACTTACTGGTTCAAGACAGGTGTATATGCTGTTTTATCTTCATCTATGATGGTGACCATCAGAGTAATAAGCTGTGTCCAGAAATCCAAATTCTTTGTTGTTGGTCCCTGTTCTTCTTTAGGAACTTCTTGTTTCTTACTCTGTTAAAACAAGATTGAATATATTTTATATTAGAGAAATTAGAGAAAATATGATGGTATTTCCACCTACAGATTATTACTTGGTTGGAGAATGATATATTAAGAATCTTCAGAAATTTTGGACAAAGACTGTCTATCCAACTTAGAGTAGATTGTATGACACACTATATCTGGTTGAGGACATATATTGAAAAACATAGACAGTGCAAAGACAGCCAGGTCAGCAATGAAGATCAATTGAGACTTGATTTTCAGTGCATGTCAACACTTCAAATACATTCTTAAATTCTTTATTGTGCTGAAATTGAGTGCAGGTAGAATTGTCTGTTGTGGCAGAACTTTTATACCCTACACAATAAATACTGAACAAATCAATGATAAGGAACATCTTTTGTTTTGTTATGGATTATATGCTGAAGTTATTTGGCCTCACAGCTGCTGTGCTGTTTGCATTAAATGAAGAAGTGGTTAAATTTCCCTTTATTTTTTAATAGCCAAAATAAAAAAGGCTGTTGCCCAAAGTATGCTGCACAGAGATTTTTCAAGGTCTCATAGACTGACCGGCAGAACCACAAAGTATGTGTTTAAGAGAGGCAGAGGAAAACACCACAAAGTAGGAGGGCGAAAAGAAAATATCCCTGGACACATAAAAATACTAGGAAAAGGTACAATAGGAATATCCAAAAGAGAGGCTTGTGAAGGTATTGGCTTGCCAAGAATTTTAAAGCTGTAAGCAAAACCAATCTGTTATTTGATTCTTTTTCTATCCAAGGAAATGGGATTTTTGTACATTCCTTGTATATGAAGAGGACTGCAACCAGTCTCACATCCAAAGCAGAGATCTTGAGATGCCCCATTAAATTTTTGTAATAACCACAAGAAAGGAAATGACAAACTGGTATATCAGATGCATTACCAACATGACTCCCCAGTCATTCATTAAAACTAGGTAAGTAAAGCAATGGATTTTTATTCATTGCTAGACTAAAAGCCTGCCTTTTGCACCTTTTTATGTATTGCTAAGTATGTATTAATATTTACCACTTACAAACTTTTATTGAAAATTTTATACTTTTTAGTCTCACTAAAACGTGCATTTATAGCTAGGTTTTGTCTCTACAGTTTTGATTTATGAATTCTTAATCTACAGTTTCCTAGACAAAAGTATTTTTCAGTTATTAAAAGAAGGATCAGATTCCTTATCAATGTCCAATAAATAACTTAATTACAGAGAACCAAATATGAATAGAAGTATCTTTATCTCTGTATGGACACACACACACATACACACACAATTTCTGCCACACAGAGGAATGTCTGCACATGCTAGGTCTCTTCTACACAGCTGTCAGAGATAGCAAGGGGATTTTCCACTCAACTAGTAAACCAGAGAAAATAGACATGCCTATTATCTTGCAAGTTTAAACATATATTTCCTGTACTTCTAATTTGTAGTCCAAATATGACCACTTCAATGGACTCCATATCTCTCTGAATAGATATGACACTATATTAGTGCCACAGTGAATTAATTAAATGTTATCTTAACCTCAATTAACTTTTATCTATTAGCAGCATTTAGGATGGCAGAAAGGGAATTTCAACAACACTTAATTGAAAGTGTTTTTGTGGTCACTGTGGAATATCTTAGAAAAGTGTCATTAATCACACTATTACCTATTCAGCTGATTTATAAATGCTACAGCTTCAGTATCTAAAGCAACTGAAATAAAGGTGAGGCTCAGAAGCAGTTACAATGGATGGTGTGACTAGTTATCACCGTCAGTTTACAACCACACATGCAAGCAAGAGTGCTTTCCAAAAAAGAAATGAATAATGGAGCATTAATGTCACTCACAGGGCTTTCCCTGGTGTACATTATACTTTTATTTAAAGACCTTGTTTCTATATCAAAGATTCATCTCTCATATACCATTTTTTTTCTCAGAAGCCAGTGCAACTTTAAGCCAAACCAACCAAAAGGCAGATGTAGAAGACGATGTTAGTTCCTATTTAGTCCAGCATCTTATTCAAGAACTATGTTTCACAGAAAAAACCCGCAATGGGATGTAGCTGATACAGCTTTTCGTGATTGTGAATGTGAATCACAGGATGCAAAATTCTATTCTTTAATATAGATAGCAAAAAGTAATTAATTTAACAAGTAATACTTGCAGAAGGAGGTGCTTTGTACAAAAATTCTCTGGCCTAGAAATCTTAAAAATCAAGATGATCTTTTCAAAATCCCTAGAGAAGGTATTTCTTACAATAGTATCACATTAATAGATGTAGTTTTATGCTCTGAAATGAAAGTGCACACTCTACCCATATCTAGTTGTAATTTCCATTCTACATCCTAAAATCTAAATAATGGGTTAGAAAAGCACAGAATAATTCAGGTTGTTTTTATATTAATTGTTATTATTGCTGGCATTATTATTTGGTTTATGTGTTTTTTGGCAACAGATGCTTTCACAGAAGCATTATAATAAGATAAAACAATGTTGGAAGTTTGATTACATTGATTAGTTGCAAACTTGCAAAACTGACAGAAGAAAGTTCCGTCTTGGAATAACTAATAATAAAATTAACTTGAAACAGAGCTATTTTCAAATCCAAAAAAATTCAGTGATACAATTTGGCTTGTAAATATTTCTATTAGCAAAACTGAGAAGCACAGTAAACTGTAACACTGCAGGAAAAGTGAGTGGGAGGACAGCATCATACAATTATATTGTAACATTTTCTTAATGAAATGAAACACCCTTTGAGAGGCACTGCAGTTTAATTGCTATACCACTTTGCTGAACTTTGGTAACATAAGTTCACCATCAGTCTGTTCTGAACAGTTACTAAGCATGCCCTCGTATTAAATGAAAAAACAAGTTAAGTTTTTCCTTTTCTGTTTTCTCAAAAGAAATTTATCTGCTCTAATTTTGTAACTCTCATGGTAATAGCTCATATCTCACTCTTGTGGTTTCACAGAATCATAAAATGTTGTGAGTTGGAAGGGACCCACAAGGATCATCGAGTCCAACTCTTGCCCTAACACAGGACAGTCTCAAGATTCAGACCATGTGTCTGAGGGCATTATCCAAATGTTTCTTGAATATTGTCAGGCTTGGTGTCATGACTACCTCCCTGGAGAGCCTATTCCAGTGCTCCACCACCCTCTGGGTGAAGAACTTTTTCCTAATGTCTCACCTAAACCTGCCCTGGCACATCTTCCTGCCATTTCCTCTGGTCCTATCATTGGTCATGAGAGAGGAGATCAGCACCTGATCCTCCTCTTTC